GCCGCCGCCGCCGCAGCGCCCGGGAGCTGTCCGCGGTGCTGAGCCGGGGTGCCGCAGGGGCCGCCGCCGACGCCGCGCTTCCCATGTGCATGCAGTATGCGCCTGCCCTGGAGGATGGATCACTGCCTCATCTACATCAACGCCTCGCTGCTCTTCTGCTTCAGCTACGCCAGCCTCTTCCTGGTGGAAGCAGGTAAGCGGCGACCCCCGCACGGCCCCCTGGCCCCCTCCATCCCCAGGCACCCTCCGGCCGCCCCGCCGGCCGGCGACCCGGGGCCTTGGCTGGGCAGCGGGAGAGGTGCAAGGCGCTGGAGTGGAACTTCACTGCGTTGTGCACAGTCCCGGCCTCCTGCGAGGGAGCGGGCAAGAGCCGGGCGCAGGGGGAGATGGAGACGGGGCTGGGCAGCTCGCGGTCTCGGGAGGAAAACCAAGCCGCGTCCGGAGTGGCCCCCTCCCCGGCGCGTGTGTCGGTGTGTGAGGGCAAGGGGGAGGCTGCGTGATCTGCTGCCAGCGCCAGAGAGCAGGGGCTGGATCTGTTTACATGGGAAATAGTTTCCTGTCATCGCTGGCTGTGACTTTGTTTTTCGCCAGTTCAAGGCAGGGGCTGGCTTTTCAGAAGTGACTAGCGGTTTTGGAGGCTGGCTTGTGACACCTTCCAGGGACCCGGTCTTGCTGGCTGGGAATCAGACCTCCTTAAGGTGTCTCGAGTCGGGTGCCCCAAGGCATCCGTCTCGGGAACAGAAGGCTCGGAGAAGGCCGGTGTGCCACGAAAGCGGCAGCCGTGAGGGACAGTATAGTGTTGGACGTTCTTTGGGCACTCACTGGCAAGGACCTTGAAAAGGCAGGCTCTCATCTCCCCTAATAAAGGGGCCTTCTCCTGTTCACAGTCTAAATATTAACAGACAAAGTGAAGCCAGCTGCACCCTGCTCAGGTCACGGCAGTTGAACTACAGCAGTTCCCCCCACTCCTTTTCCCTCTGTACACACCAACTTACACACGGAGCCTATGGGCTTCAGAGAGCAGACACCTATGTCAGAAGAGCATGTTGCCTACTTGCTGGAGTAATGGCCACAGTATAACTGGGTCCCTTTTTTCTGAGATATTTCTAGTGGCCAGTTCCTTTGGGACATTGAGGGAGAAGCTTTCTGAAAGACAGAGGTCACCGTATACTTAGCTCTAATTTTAAAACGTATGTCCTCAGATACAGCCGCCTCTTCACACGGCTACCGCTCTTTTTACCCAAGAGACCAGCCTAGGGCTGTAAGTGCTCTGCAGGTTCTGACATGTGCTGCCCATAAAGCACACGGTTACATTTAGAAAAGATCATTACAAGCCCAGACAGAATCAAAGGACACGTGAAAGTCCACCTCACTCATTCATTAGAGCACAGGTAAGATGGCTTTGAGATGTGGCTGAAACAGCTGCTGATTTGCAAATGCTGACTGCAAGAATATCTTGCATTTCAGAATACTGTACCCAGTCAGTGGTGATGTCCAGGTCTGGGAAGTGGACCTTCCTATAACGGATCCAGCCCGGTTAGGGGATAATCCTTGTTCTATTTGCACAGGGGCAGAAGTGACCCCAAAAATGTGCTTTTGGCTTTGACACAGTTGTCCCTGGTTGGTGTTCAAGTTCCAAAAGACACAGAAATCCTGGCCTAGCCACTTCCTAAACTGGGGCCTGGAAGATGGGGCGATTCATTCAAATATTCCTAAATGAATGACATGATGGGTAATGGACACAGCACAATAAAGGCATTTGCAGTTGTAATACCCTGCCTGATTTCTCACAAACTAGGAGAAGCTCTCCTTTTTCCATATCCTTGAGTCACCTCAGAATCAGCTCACTGGGAGGAAATAAGGGGTTTGATTCTGGCTCTAATTGGCTTTTGTGTCTTTGTTTTAACTGTGTGTTTTAGTCATTGTTTGTATCCTGCAAAGTGTCTGGGAGACGTTGGTGAGATGGGTAGATACATAAACATAGCAGCACTGTCTAATGGTTAGAGAGAACTGGCAGGCAGGATTCCTAGGTCCTGTCCCCAGCTCTGCTAGTGCCTCATTGTGTGACCTTGGGGAAGTCACTACCCCTCTGTGCCATCCTTTTATTTAGCTGACTCCTGTCACCATTGTGTCTGAGTGCTCTGCAAACACAGATGAGCTCCTTCTCATGACTGCCGTATTAGGAAGGAAGTGTCATTACCCCCATTTTCCAGAAAGGAAACAGAAGAGTGCGGGGATGGCATGAGTTAGGCAAGGTTGCACAGGGAGTTGGCAGCAGTGCACAGAATCAAAGCCAGTGTCCCAACCCCCAGTCCAACGCCTTCACTGTAAGACGGTTCTTTCTTGTAGCTTCTGCATCTCTATGAAATGTGGGTAATGGCACATCCCTGCCATGAAGGAGGATTACAAGGATAAACTCATTAACGCAGCAAAGTGCTTTGAGATCCCCACATTGAAGGTGCTGGAGAAGGGTCAGGCTTGTGTGAACTTACTAGTGGATTAGGCATGTTCTCGGTCAAGGGAGCCCTTGGGTTGCAACACTTATCAGAAAGCACAACCCTGCTGAAAGCGCGGGTGCTCCCCAGCAAAGAGGAAGAAGCACCTGTCTGCCTGATCCAAAGGAGATCTTTTGGGGTTGAGGCAATTATCAAAATCTCAGCTCCTGTATGGGCCAGATCCTGTGGAAATAGGATTGTGGCAATGCCCCAGCAAGCCCCGGTGGTGCACTTAGACACAGAAACACCTGCCCTTTGTGCCAAGTTCAGGCAGGGCATTTTCAAGTAGGCTTGAGCCTGCACTGACTATTTAAACCCTTCTTCCTTAGCAAAGGAGGCCTATTGCAAATGCTGCCTGCTCATTCAGTGTGAGTCTGGGGCTGGGCCCCTACCACGCATATAGTTGTGTATGTTTTCTGTTTGGTTGCAGTAAGAGGAGCAATGCAGAGATGGCTGGGAAAAGAGGACAGTGCAGAAGGGAAAGGTGGTTGTGTAATAGCTTCTAACCTGTAATGCTGTTGGACGGCTCTTGGGTTCACACTGGCAATCACATTAGCAGAGCCCTCCAACTAATTTCTATAGAAGTCTGCTCCGGGGGATCGCAGAGAAAACACTGAAGCCATTTGGTGGGTCTAAAATATGATTTAGCTGTATAATAGTGCTCGGCCTGGAGCCTGCATGGCCTGCTTTGCCTGGACTGTGAATCCCCGAGCTGCTGTCGGCCCTCTCCTCGTCAGTCAGAGGTGGTGAAAGAGGGAAGTGAGCTGTGCAGAACACAGAGTTGCAGGGCTGCCATTATGGGCTGCTGGAGCAGCAGGGGGATGTATGCAAAAATAATGAAAGGCCTCAAAATAGGCCAAAGCCACTGCAAGCTCCGGGTGCAAATAATTCTCCTGCAATCTGCTCCGCACAGCACATCCTGTCAGATTCATTCCTGGGAAGCAGAGGGGAAAGACTCAAACTTCCTGGGGGCATCAGGCAGCCTGAAACAGAAATCCCACAGAAATCAAGGGTGACATCTCCACTGACCTCGCTGGGAGCTGCTTGGAGCTCCACGTCCCCTAAATTCAAGGAGTTGGGCACTTCTACTTTTTACATGAACTCACTGCTGCTGCCACATCCACTGGCAAAAGCAGGCCCCAAACATCTAGTGAGCTCCTGCTCCAAGGCAGCTCAATGCTGCCAGCTTTTCCGGGCTATCCTTAGTGCTCTTTAGCTATTCCTCATATTAGGCTTTTCCTATTCTCGTGGTACCATGCTCTGTGCTCAGCTATCCCTGTGCAGTCCAAGGGCAAAGCGGGGAAAAGAGATGAAACCGAAGGCATTGGTTATTATATGAGGTGCCAAGGACCATCAGTTGCACTGATGCCCATGAGGACTCTGGGGACTCAGCGTGTGGCAGGATCGGGCTCCTAATCAGAGACAGAAGTGAGAAGCCAAAGGAGGAATGCACTAGAAAGCAACAGCCAGCCTGACACATCAGATTACAGATGGCAAACAACCCACCAGAGCCTGTTCCCACCTCACTATGGCCTTAGAGCTTCCCAGTCAGCTGAGAGACTCCATAAGCGCTTTACTGATTCCTGCATTTGGCAGAAATGAGATTTAATTGAAGTGTGGAGGTTTCTAACCTGTGTCAGCCTCTCACCATACAAAACCGACAAGGTTGCAGTAGTCTGTTCCAAATGCCACCTCCTTCGAAGAACGGTCATGGGGAAAAAATGGAGACTCATTTCACAGAGGAAGAAGCTCACACGCAGGCTAATCCTCCTCTCTTCCATGCACATGCATGCACAAGACAGAGAATTCACCACTGCCACATACTGTCTTCAGGGGAGCTGTATGCCCACCTGTACTGATGCTAAATTTAATCTGCTCTTTTAGTACTGTTAAATAAAAACCTCCTCATCCATAAAGTGCCCAGAATCCCAAATAAAGTCTGACATGAGTACAATTCAGTTAAAAGCCTACATTCGCCAGGAACTCAACTCCAATGTGCATAGTGAAGCCCAGAGTGGTTGATACAGAAACAAGTCTGGTTGGGACTACATCGAAAAGACCCTGAGAGTGATGCCCAACAGCTGCAGAATAATCATTTACTGCTCTGTACAGCTACATTTCTAAATGGGATGCACACAGCGCACAGATCAAACACAGCCCTAGTAAGATCAATACCGAGCTGGGTCCAGCAGAATCTAGTGAGGTTTCATAGTTTCATAGTTGTTAGGGGCTGGAAGGGACCTTACAGATCATTGGGTCCAGCCCCCCTGCGCTTGGGAAGGAAAAACTGCTGGGATCAGATGGTGCTGTCTAGTAGACTGGTCATGGGAACAAGAGCCAGGAACTCACTGAGTTCTCCCCATGACTCTGACAGTCACCCACTGTGACCTTGGGCTGGTCATTTATCTGTGTCCTATTTTCCCCGTTTGTCAAGCCACGACCATAAATCGGACCTGTCTCAGGGAAGTGATGAAGGTTCATTGGCTAATGTCTGTCCCATGTCAGGAAGGAGTACAGGAACAGTGTTGTTGATAAGAAGCACTGAATTGTGACAGTATAAAAATAGGATGAAAAATCCCAGTGGCCTGGAAGAATGGGAGCCCCGGCTCTATTACTGGGAAAAGCCTGGAGACAAGAGGCTGAAAATACCTACTGGGACCAGTCCAAACCTTTGGGGCTCAGGGTTGGAATATTCCCC